CCTAAACGATTAATCGATTATAAAAATTTGATTTGATTATTTTCTGTCGATCAACTAATCATTGCAGCCCTACTTTTATTATTATCACGACTGTTTCTCCGCATTAACACAAACTGATTGTTGGGTTCAACTTGACGCATTTCTAAGTAACTATTGTGTTGTTCAATGTGTCCTATTCTTGGTCTCCCAGAGGATTGCGGAGGCCAGCCAAGGGGACATCCTGCGCTCCACCATGGAGCTGGATCAGTCTCGGGCCTGCGACGGACAGTTTGAGGAGGAGTATAAGCCCCTTGAGTCCGTGGGGAAAGGAGCCTTTGGCTTCGTCTGGAAAGCGTTGAGGTGCTCCGATGGCCAGGAGGTAAGAAGGTCTCCATAAATAACTTACATGCTCCCTTTGCCATGGAAACCTGGGCCAAACAGGGGGCAGTGGTAGTGTAGTGGTTACGGTTGTCAACTCTAAACCAAAAGGGTTGATCTCCACAACCTACCTTTTGGCATCCTTGAGTAAGCTGATGCCTAACCTCTTCCTGCATCTAGCTTTGGATACATTATAAAACAGTACACCACCATACAACGCTCTACTGCCAACGTGATGTAGCATTGGCACATGAACTACAGTGATGTAGCATTTGCATATGAACTAACAGTTAGGGGGTTGTCCTCTGGGGTTGTGGGTACAGGTGGTGGTGAAGTTCATCAAGAAGGCCCGGGTGGTGAGCGACTGCTGGGTGGAGGACCCCATGCTGGGACACGTCAGCCAGGAGATCGCCATACTGACCCGCGTGCAGCACCACAACATTGTCAAGGTCGACCACTAGTCTAGTGTTTGACGAGGGTCAAATAAGATTATTGCTTACTTTCCCCCCCAGGAAGTAACCTTGTGAGACCATCGTGATCTTGCAAGTTCACGTTCTGTGTCTCTCTGCAGATCAGTCCGGCTATGAGCCACGTAGAAAGCCTCTTCCAAAAATGTAAAAATGCTCAGACCAATCAGCGCTTGGGGGAGGGAGTTTTAGTTCATGATGAACAAGGAATGCCGCAGTCTGCCGAATAAAAAAATAATCATGCTTGTGCTCACTCAGGCAGTACACATAATAAAATTAGATCGATAGAGAGAAGATTAGCATGGTCACTTGTGTGAAGATAACATGCGCAATCGTGAAGCGTTACACATTTTAATTAAAAAAATCATTAAACTATTTAAACAATCTACTAGCAATCAACATTGTTTTAATCCAAAATTGACTGAATAACAATGTTAAAAGATCTGCACTGAGAGAAAACTGCACTGAAGGCTTTTACTTCCAACCAAGAGCGAAGAAAGCAAGTTGTTTTTTTAACAACATAAGGTTGCCATGTGGAAATCAATGGCTGGTTGGTTAAGCCCAGACGGATGTTCAATGCGAAACGCAAATATGTATATTTGCGTGGTCTCACGACGCTACCTATGAAGCGGAATTTATGTATACAAAAACATATACAGCATTTCTTGTATTCACAGAGCCTGTTTTGTACTGCCCTTGAATTATTTTGTGTAGTCTGTGATGACTGATGAGTAGTGCTGTTGGACATCAGGGATTTCAACAGCTAGATATTTGAAATATATAATGTTGGGTATCATGACATCATCAGTACATAGTACCATTACAATTATAAACTGATCAAATATGTCAATTTTAGCAACTAACTCTAGCTCCCTGGTTGCCGGGGACAATGGCTTCTAAAAGTTTGGTCATGACGTGTGTGTGTGTGTGTGTGTGTGTGTGTGTGTGTGTGTGTGTGTGTGTGTGTGTGTGTGTGTGTGTGTGTGTGTGTGTGTGTGTGTGTGTGTGTGTGTGTGTGTGTGTGTGTGTGACCAGGTGCTGGAGGTGTTTGAGAACGGCAGCTACTTCCAGATGGTGATGGAGAAACACGGTGAGGGCCTGGATCTGTTTGAGTTCATAGACAAACAGCCCCAGCTGGACGAGGCCCTGGCCAGCTACATCTTCAGACAGGTACACCATACAGCAGACTCTGGATGTTTCATTGGTTGAGAAAGTACTACATTTGCTGACACCTTGACGACCAGCTAGTCTTCCTGGAGTACAAGACAAAATTACATATGAAACATATTTAACAATAACACCGACATGACAATATTGAGTATTGCTGTGTTTGTTTACGCTAAACTTTGTGTTGCGCTTACTTACAAACTGCTAACTCTTAAAACAGCTTTTACATTTAATTGTATGGGTTTAACCAACTAATTTGCCAGCATTGTGCTTTTTCCAGTTGGTGGCAGCAGTGTTTTACCTGCGCGGTAAGAACGTCCTGCACCGTGACATCAAGGACGAGAACGTCATCATAGACCAGTGCTTCCACATCCGACTCATCGACTTCGGCTCAGCGGCCGTGCTGGCGCCCGGGAAGCTCTTCTACACGTTCTGCGGCACGCTGGAGTACTGCTCCCCCGAGGTGCTCCAGGGAACCCCGTACGTACACAAACCACCAGGGGAGCACGGCTTCTCTACTCTCTCTGTCTCTCTGTCTCCATCTCTGTCGCTCCTAAGCCGCGTTACTAGACCAGGGTCTAAATTAAGTTCTGTGGACATTATTTTACCCCCCAAAAAGTCCCTTCTCGGGGGGTAGTACTTTCCAAAAGTACAGGAACTTTGGGGGAGAGGCTTGCAGCACTGAACATGGTCGAGTAGCAGCATTTTATTTCAGCAGCCATTTTTAAACATCTGCAGTTGCAAACCGACAGTTTTTTGTTCACATCACCACATCAACATGATGGAGGAGAAACGGTACAGTTCGTTGTGTAGTCGTGTGCAAAAATGACAAATGATAATAACAGCCGTCGCTTTTTCATACGTCAGCGGACTAGTTTACCTAATCTTCGCGGATCATTAGGCAGTGGTGGAAACGCAGGCAACAGGCTGCAGAAACCTTTTAGTTCCTTGAAAAGTAGTTCCTGGGACTAAAAGTTCTGTGTACTTTGGGTGGAAACATGGCTTATGTCTCCAGCTTGAGTGGTCATACAGTGCATAATCCCTCACCATCTCTCAGCAAGTCAACTTATTTTACAGATACCAACGATTTACAGACACTGATGTCATCATTCACATGCTATTGTTGACCAGTTTCAGGCAGCGGTTTATTGGCGGCGTGTAGGAGCTCACTGAGGCAATGGAAACCCAATGCAGCACTATTTTTGCAAACCGGCCATTTTGTATGTGGGAACACACTGTTTTCGTCCTTGTTTTGAGTATATCGTATAGGATGTACAAAACACCTCTTGACACATTATTCACTGCTGTTGGTAAATGACCCCAGCTAACCCACTCATGGGCCATGGCTTGTTTTTCTTTTGTATATTACTGTTTACTACTTATCTACAGTTGGGCCATCATTGCCTAGCAATGTGTATGCTTTTGAGGCGTGCATTCCAGTGTGCTTATTGTATTTCCTTATGCCGATCCCACTCCTGTCAACTGAGAGGGTGAGAAGGAGATTGAAAACGATACCGTGTGCTCCGCCCGTTATCACCTCACTCTGTTATTATTATTGACTAGCCTAGCTGATATAAGATCCAGATACTATTGCAGTCTGACCCGACATCTACAATTACTGGTGAATAATAAACTAAACATCCCGCCATGAATCTGAGCATTTCAAGTCAAGTACATTTATTGAACCGTCACGTCTTCAGTGTCTTTTTGTTAATGTTTGTTTTTGTGTGTCTGTGTCTGTGTTTAGCTACAAGGGTCCAGAGCTGGAGATGTGGTCCCTGGGGGTGCTGCTGTACACACTGTTGTTCAGTGAGAACCCCTTCTGTGGTGTGGAGGAGATCCTGCAGGCCAGACTCAAACCTCCATTCAACATCTCCACAGGTACACCTCCACCACTTCCTCCTCCTCCTCCTCTTACTGTTAAATAGACATCCCAGCGGTGTGCTTTTTTAAACCCTTTACATTATTGGGAGAGACATGTTAACAAGAGATATGGCGAGGTGTATTCTAGCTTAACCTGATGCACCAGATGGTTCGTTTCACAGGACCATCTGGGAAGTCGTCTGTAGAAAACTGTTTGGATACTTGGCAGGTGGTTGGATGAACCATCTGTCTATCATCTTCTATCACAGGTTAACTTCAACCAATCAGATTGACGAAGTAGTAGGAGAGGGAAAACATTTCCCCTCAAGAAAAGCCTTCATTATTTGCTCTTCTTTCAATGGCTAAATACTCTCCAGTTCAGATATAACTGATGCTGTAGCAGCATCTATGCTAACCTCTTTAGGAGCTGCAATTGTTGTTGTCCGAACCGCTGTTTCGGTCACAAGCACGTAACTTGAAGCTTGGCCGGACCGATCTCCAGAGAGAAGCAGAATGTGAACTCGCAAGATTGGGATGGTCTCAAGAGGCTATATTCAGCTAAAGGGAACCATGAATCTGAAAATTAAGAGTTGTGTTATTAGAGCCTCTGTGAAATAAGTGGTTTTGTCCCAGCCATTTGAAATACAAGCCAGAGAGTCGTTTTGTACGATCAGTTTCTTAAAGAAACACAAATGAAAGCAATATTAGACATGCGGAACATGTGTTTTATAATTGACATCAGATGCTTTAAACTGGCACATTTTTGTCCCTTTTTTTGTCAATATCTTTGCCTCACTGTAGTGCTTTTTTCCGTCGTCTCCTCTCTTCCAGAGCTGCATGACATGTTATCAGACCTGCTTCAGTCTGAGCCGGAGGAGAGGATGACACTGGACCAGCTGCTGCTGCAGTCCTGGCTCAGCCAGCCCATCTCTCTGGCCGAGTACAGTTGGAACGAAGTGGTCCCGGACAGCAAGCGTAAGTAGATCAGCAGCACATCACTTGGAGAAGAAGATTCCATTGTGTTTATTTATTTTCACAGTATTGCGTCATATTGGCAGACACTTTTATCCAAAGTGACCTACAAGTGAATTCATGTCATCATCAAGGAACAGGTAGCTGCATCTTGCTCAAGGATGCCTACCTAGGTAGGCTTCAGAGATTGGGAATCGAACCCAGTACCTTTCCGGATGGGAGTCGAACATCCTAGCCACTACACTATCCTGCCTAGTACATACACATGCACTGAAGGCTCTCTTCATCTTCTCCAGGTGTGCCACAGCACAAGGAGCAGAGTCCTGCAGCATACCTGGGGCAAGGGCTGTTCCCAAATACGGGCGACGAGACACTTCCTGATGATTGTGATGGAGAAGAGGAAATATATGACGACAATGATGAGGAAGAACATAAGTCAATGGTGGCCCTTGAAAATGAGCTCCAGAAGTATTTGGTTGATGGCTAATTCTTTATAAACTGAATCACCTTGTCCTTTGTGACCAGCTGTGAATCCAACTAAATGAAGAAAGGTACGTTTTACAGGTTTCAACGTGCAAGATCCGAACTCTAATCCATCTCTGATCACAAAGAAATACTTTCATCAGGGTATTGCAAACTGTCCCTTCACTAAGAATACTAACAAACTGTTATGAATACTATTATCACTCCAATGGATGAAGAAGGAGTTTTCTTTGTATTGTGTATTTAGTGATGATTGCTAGATGCAACACAATGATGCTTAATTGTTTTAATATACCGTCAGATTTATTGTTGCTCAGATTTATTTATGGTCACTGATTTTACCAAGATTCGGAGCATCCACATGTTTATTATTTTATATCAAGCAAAACCTAAATTATCAGTGCTATTTAATTGCTCTTGATCTTGTTAATTGTTCAGTTTTAATTTTCTTAACTGTTCATACATTCAGTTAGTGGATGTATATTGTTTTAAAATTGAACATTTATTTACACTATTTATTCAGTCACATGTAAATAAATATTTTATCAAATGCTTGTCACTGATCTTGTCATCTTTTCAGTACACAGTACAGTAAAAGCAGTACTTTATACACACAAATACCAAGCATTTTCAGCATTTTCTATTTGGACTTTCACAAATAATGCTAACCTTTACATATATATAGATAGAGATTTAAAAAAAAAAAAAAAAAAAATATATATATATATATATATATATATATATATATATATATATATATATATATATATATATATATATACACACCATTTATAGTGTGAAATCGTAAACGACTTTACTGAACAAGTAGGAACCATAGTCTCGAACAACTACGGCTGAAGGAGGGAACTATTTTCATGACGGACAAACATGAATACCCCAGTTGCTGGATGTCAGGTACATTTATGTGTAACTTTACGTCATTTACGTTCAGATTTGCGTTTTAAAACTTAATTAAAAGCATGTACAGAAGAGGTGTTCACATTATAATCTGACATGCCGTAGACTAAACATAAAAGCACTTCAATAACCTTGAGGTTAGCAGGCTAACTCGTGCGCTCCCATTCATCCGTTATAGCAGCTCACAGTTACAGCGAGTGGACAGCTACCTTGTATCATATATATCTATATAGATATATAGATCACATTATGTTATACAATTCAAGAATATGCGTTACTTTTCTTCCATCCGTATTCAAACCCACATTCTCCACTGTTACAGGTGCTTAGGTGCTCATTGCGAGGTCTTGCTTCGCTTGCATTCGGTGCCGGGCAACATGGAGGGTGTCTCGTTCGGCGACCAGTCCACGCATCGTGTAGACTGGTCTCCTCCACCGACCACAGTCTCAAGCCATCCTCATCATCCTTCTCCACCGACCACAGTCTCAAGCCATCCTCCTCCACCGACCACAGTCTCAAGCCGTCCTCATCCTCCTCCACCGACCACAGTCTCAAGCCGTCCCAGCACGACCATGGCAAATCATATCCTGGGCAGCCGGTGGCGAGGGAGCTGTCGGTGAGGTCTTTCCTTGACATGGGCTTCACAGACACCCAGGCTGAGCTGCTCCACGACACTGTGTCCAAGGCCAAAGGGTCGGCGGCAGCGCAACAGACCCTCACGTCTCTTACAGCTCTTTTCGTGCTGGGCCTCAACCCGTCCAGCGTGCTGAAGGTGCTGGAGAAATGTCCCGAGCTGCACCACATCAAGGAATCCCAATTAACCCAGCGCATAAACCACCTGCGTAAACTGGGATTAGTTGAAGGTGAGATGAAGAGGTGCGGCGCATAGTCGTCGTGTGAAGGCGGTCTCTGAGAAATGGGAATCGTTACGGATGTCGTGACTTGACCTCTGCTCTAATCTCTAATCCCCAGGGAGTCTTCAGAGAGTGGTGGCCCATTACCCCCAGATCCTCACCGTCCCCGTGAAACGGGTCAAGACTGTGGTGCTGTTCATCAGAGAGAAGTGCCTTTTCACCGTGCAACAGGTCGCAGAGATCATCAGAGATAGTCCAGCCGTGGTCCTGGAGGACCTGGGCCAGCTGGAGTACAAGTTCCAGGTCAGAATGTACCTCAGAGGGGACACTGACATCGTAACGTAGAGAAACGGCATGGGGAAGCTTTACGTGGTGCTTGACTGTTATTATATATTTAGTTATAGTACCATTTATTTGGGAGTGCGAAAACATAAAACATGTCAAATTATTTTTAGTATCATTGAATAATTTAACATGAATTCATGGATATAAAACTGTTTTATTATGTGTGCTTTTTTGGGGCTGTTTTTCCCCCCTTATAGAACAATTGTTAGTTGTTTTTCTAACCAATGCCCGATCTTTCCCCAGTATGTCTTTTTCCGCATGGGTGTGAAGCAAGCAGAGATGGTGAAGTCCAAGCTGTTCCGCTTCCCTCTGGAAGAGGTGCGCTGTCGCCACTGCTTCCTGGAGCGCAGGGGCCTCTACCAGACCCCGGACAAGAAGGGACAGACGCTCATAGAAAACCCCAAACTCAGCCAGATCCTCCACACGGACCGAGAGACCTACCTTGTGGACATCGCCCGGGGAACAGCGGAAGAATACGACACGTTTGGGAAAATGATGGCGAGGGAATGGCAGGAGGAGGAGCGGCGAGAGAGGGACATTGGAGCTGATAGTGACGATGATTACGATGATGACGATAACGAAGATGAGGATGATGAACAAGAAGAAGAGGTGGGAGGAGATAAGAGAGCGTATACAAGGAAGCGAAAGTCTTAGGCCAGCACAACGGTGTTTCAAAGTAAAACTATTGACATTTTGATTGAACATCAGACATTGTCAAATAAATAAAACAAACGTTAACTGCACCACCATGTGTTTGGTCAGCACTTTCTACTCTACAATCTAATGCTAAACAACACTTTAGTTTAATGTTAACATTTTTATTTCATTTTACTGAATGTATCGTTATTATTCTCAGTGACCACAGGACGTGAACTGTCTGATTTGAATGTAGAAATGTGTTGGACTCAGGGCCGTGCACATTTCAGAAATTTTAGGGGACTCGAGCAAAAAAAAAAAGGGCTCTCACCCCACCGACACGCACTAGTCTCACCCCAATTACAACGTGAAGGTGGCAAGTCCTACTGGCCTACTTCGATTTTCATTTTTAACAAGATATGTAACACAAAAAAGCAAGTAAGTGTTGTTTAATCGTGGTGTCATAATTAAAACAGCCACTACCATGTCGGAATTTGCGAGTTGATTGGAGACGAAACCATTTGGGGGGGGTACTTTATAAATTGATACGGTCAGGGGCTCAAGCCCCCCCCGGGACCCTATCTGTGCACGTGCCTGGTCGGACGTTACTTGATCTGTCAGTACATTGTTATCGATATCGACAAGTCACCCTCGCCGGATATTATAACTAATAATGTACACGTTTGAGATAAATGAGCTCCTGTCGAACATCATTAATCTCGCTAATATCAACCCCCGTTCACGACCCTTTGACAGCCAACAATGTTTGCCTTCCTGCAGTTACTATATTATTACTGATACTTCATTGCAATTTCCCCCCGCCACCACCACCACACCCCCCTCATGATGAACGGGAGATACTCGTGGCAGATCAAATTACACCGCCAATGTGTGACACGTTGTTATTGCAATGGCTTGCAGGCCAAGCGGCCATGGCGAGAGGCCAAGCGAGCCGCGAGCGGATGCTAAGTGGTCCTCTCCCCTCCCTCCCCCCCTCCCCTCCCCTTCCCTCCTCCCCCCTCCCCTTCCCTCCTGTGTATCTACGCAACAGCCAAGTGGTCCGCTCCCCGCTGTGTAGCCGTGCAACGGGCAAGTGGGCACAGCTTTTCTCCATCCCTCCTTTGTCTCGGTGGGTCAACAAACACCACCTCGGCTGATAAGGTCGGTGTGGTCCGCGGTGCAGATACCGCACAGATCAGTCATTGATTTTTCTTGGAGCATTAAACTTAATGGGGGCGAGAGAGACACCGACGGGGGGTCGTCCGCTCTGGATACCGGGTAAGGCAACACCGAGACTCTGACTTTTTGACCAAACGTCACATTTGACTGTAATGTGTATTATGGTTAATCAATGGTTTTGCCCATCTGCGGCGGTGCTGTGGAAAAAAAGCAACGAGCCAGGCCTCGTACTGACGGACTGAACTGACTGTTTTTTTCTTTTTCTTTTTTTTTTAAAGATGGGGTGGAACAAGGACATGTTTTAGTCTTTTTTTTTTAATAATGAAGACATATATTCTGTACTGTCATGTAACTTTCAACTACAAATACAACGTCATTATTTCAATATAATTGTCAGGCTCTCTTGCTGATAAGGGGAACATTCATTTGAACCTTTTAAGTCACTTTTGTGTTCACAATCTTTTGCCCATATTGCTGTGAAAAGCAATGAGTTGAGGCCTTGTAACAGACGACATGGAGCAACAGCAACTTTATGAATACCGTAATGCTACGAACTGTATCACATTCAAATACCATATTTGAATGTTGTTTGTTTGTGTATATGCTGCCACAGCATTTGTGCAATCTCTCAATGTCAATGTAATGTCGTGATTATCAATGTTAAAAGTACATTACCAATGACGTTCAATAAAGAATAAATAAATATAATTATTTAAAATGTCATGTGTGAAACCTATGTTTTGGTTGTGTTATTTAGATTGCACACTATAAAGTTATTGAAGTATTGGTTTAGGTAAATATGAAGAGATTAAGTGTTTCCAAAAAGAAAAGATAGCTT